GGGATTTAGGGGTTTAGGTTATAGATGGGTTTAGGGGTTTAGGGGTTTAGGGTTTAGGGGTTTAGGGATTTAGGGGTTTAGGGGTTTAGGTTATAGATGGGTTTAGGGATTTAGGGGTTTAGGGTTTAGGGGTTTAGGGATTTAGGGGTTTAGGGGTTTAGGGGTTTAGGGATTTAGGGGTTTAGGTTATAGATGGGTTTAGGGGTTTAGGGTTTTGGGGTTTAGGGGTTTAGGTTATAGATGGGTTTAGGGGTTTAGGGGTTTAGGGGTTTAGGGGTTTAGGGGTTTAGGGGTTTAGGTTATAGATGGGTTTAGGGGTTTAGATGGGTTTAGGGTTTAGGGGTTTAGATGGGTTTAGGGGTTTAGATGGGTTAAGGGGTTTAGGGGTTTAGGGGTTTTTCTGCCTCTCTCCCAATGTGATCGAGCGCGCGCATGTTTACAGTATGTATCACTATGCTTCGGCTGGAAGGCTTTGTGTTTCCCGGCATGGGCATATGTATGTGTATGTGTGTATATATATATATATATATATATATAAATACAAACACATACATAAATATATATATATATAGTAGGTATCTTGTTTTACTTTTTCGTTACTTTTGCCTAAACTTGGCCGAATTCAAGAGCTTCAAACTGGAACGAGAGTTACAGGCTTCAGAAATTAGTCTGGTATATGATTTGGCGGAAAAGGCTGAAATTCACAAAGATGTCTTATACCCGAAAAACAGTAACTCCATTAATTCCAATAATTCCATTAATTCCATTAAATAACTGATTAATTAATGAATCAATTCATAAATAATAATTAGTAATAATTATTAATAATTATTAAATACTTATTAATAATTAGTAATTATTAATAATTATTAATAATTAATTAATTAATTATTGTTAATAATTAATTAATAATTATTAACAATTATTAATAATTATTAGTAAGTATTTAATAATTATTAATAATTATTAATTAATTATAAATATTTATAATTAATTATTAATAATTATTAATTAATTATTCATAATTATTAGTAATAATTATATAATTATTAATTATTATTAATTACTAATAATTACTTGTCAGCTTCGATTGCAGACGCTGGATTAGATTAACCTGTTTCGACACAAATCAGATTTCTCCCGCACCTGTTGTCGCAGTCTTCTGGCTGTCAGCCGAAGGCAAGTGAGACACTGTTGCGGTTCTGAAAAGCCTGGAAGCCTAGGCCTAAGTCTGTATGAATCTACGTCGAATCTAAGTTGAAGCTGAATCTACGTCTGACTCTACGTCTGAGTCTGAGTCTAAAACGTCTGGGTCTAGGAGTTTAAGTTTAAGTTTAAGTCTAAGTCTAAGTCAAGTAAGTCTAAGTCTAAGTCTAAGTCTAAGTCTAAGTCTAAGTCTAAGTCTAAGTCTAAGTCTAAGTTTAAGTCTAAGTCAGAGTCTAAGTCTAAGTCTAAGTCTAAGTCTAAGTCTAAGTCTAAGTCTAAGTCTAAGTCTAAGTCTAAGTCTAAGTCTAAGTCTAAGTCTAAGTCTAAGTCTAAGTCTAAGTCTAAGAGTCTAAGTCGAAGACTATGAGTTTAAGACTTAGTGAAAAAGTCAAGGGGTCTAAGTTTTATAGACTCTACGTGTGTGTGAGACTAATCTGTGACTTAAGACTTAAGACGTACGCCTTAAGACTTTAAACTTAAGGGACTTTAGGGACTTAAAACTCAAAACTCAAACCTAAGACCTAAGACCTAAGACCTACGCCCTAAGCCACCTAAGACTTAAGAGTTTAAGACCTAAGGCCCCAAGGCTTAAGGCTTAGTAGGCTTAGGCGGCATAGGTTTAGGCTTCGACCCAGACTCGACCTAAGACTATGACTATGACATAAGACTAAGACGACTAAGACTGACCTAAGACTGACCTAAGACTCAGACTAAGACTAAGACTAAGACTAAGACTAAGACTAAGACTAAGACTAAGACTAAGACTTAAATTTGACTGACTTAAATCCTGGGACCTAAGACTTAAGAGACTGTGACTATGACTATGACTCTATGACTAAATGACTAAGACTATGTCTAAGTCTAAGTCTAAGTCTTAGTCTAAGTCTTTGACTAAGTGATTGATTAAGACGATTAAGACTAAGACTAAGATTCTAAGACTCTAAGACTCTAAGACTAGTGACTAGTGACTAACTAAGACTAGTGACTAAGACTAAGACCTAAGACTAAGACGACTAAGACGTGACTAAATAGGACCTAAGCCGGCCTAAGGCTGGCCTAAGGCCTAAGGCCTAAGGGCTTCTAAGGTCTTACTGACTTAGTAACTTAGTAAAAGTCACAAAGGCCCCTGGCCTATATTCCAGGCTTCCCGCAGCCCTACCAAAACTACATCGTGCTCCATTGCTCAACCGCGGCCGCCAACTGATGACATCGCGCAGCCAGGTGTTGTCCAATCTAGAATCTAGCTGACAGCTGAACCACTGGCTTGCAGCCGGAGACACCAGTTTTCGGAACTGGCTGGCAGCCGAAGCTCTTGCCGCGCAGGCTGGCAGCCGATCAGGCTCTTTTGCGGCTCCCGGTTGACTGCGTGGCAGCCTTGCGTTTCGTGCTCTTCCGCGGCTGCTCCTCGCCAGGCTGCTCAGCGTCGTCCTTCGGTTGCACGATCAGAGTGCCAGCAATGGTGTCTGTCACTTGCTTGGACATTTCCGGGCCCAAGCGTGACGCCAGCATCTTCTTATGCTCGCCCCAGATTTCTTTCAAGGCAGCTCTGAAGTCAGTGCCCTTTTTGTTTTGAGCTTGCAGATCTCCCTCTGCCATAATCGTCAGAACGCCCCACGTCGTGATCTGGGCACGGGCAGCACTTTTGGTTGTTGCAAGTCGCGTGGCCATATCCTCCTCTATGGCGCTTGCTTTTGCGAGATTCTTCTCGGCCTTGACACACGCTTCAGCAACTTTTTCAGTGCATCGCCGGACAGGGACTGTCTCAGGAAGTCTTCGTTCGTGACCGACGAAGGCACCAGCTGCTCTTGGAGCACCGTGAGCGTTTTGTCCACTTCGGCCCGCAACGTCTGCAGCTTCGACGCGAGCACAGGGGCGACTTTCTTCTGCAAAGTAGCAGCTCGCTCGAGGAAGCTTTCAGCGTCCGGTGTCTCCAGAACCTGCATGACCCGTTGTTTGTTTTGCTCCAAGTCGCACACAGCGCGCAGGTGACTGTGCAGGAAGTCGGTCACACTCTGGCTGTCAGCCGAAAGGTCTGTGTCCGTGAGCAGAAATGCGGTCTGCATGACTGGCACCATCTCAGAGCACGCAAACTCAACACAGGAACGTGCAAACGAAGGTGTGTCACACAGAGCACACGATTGCATTGTTTCATGCTGAGCATCCATCACAGCTGCTGCAGCTGCTGCAACTGCAGCCGAGTCTTTGCAATCCTTGCAAGCTTCGAGCAGCAACAGTGCCAACTTTGCCGAGAACTTCTCCATAGCTGCGACATGCAAAGAAGGTCCAATCTCAGGAATGCGGACGGCGACAAGAAGCTCCTCAATCTGCTGGCTGACAGCCGGAATCAGCTCTGAAGTCTGCTCCCCCGTCTGCTGCAAGGTCTTGAGCTTGCTCCACTTGAGCAGAAAACTGTTCTTGTCCTCATCCTCTTTCGTGTCCTCAAACCTTTGGGCAGCCTTTGTCGCGATCTCACGTTGTGCTCAACCCTGCGTTTCTGCCCGACGGTTAGCTTGGACCACGCCTGCTGCAGGTACTGCCACATGACAGACCTCTTGAAACCTTCCGGCTCGTGCAACTTCTCCAGGCAAGGGCTGAGCACTTCTTTGTCACTTTGCTCCCAGCTATCAGCAGGGGAGGGTGGAGCGGTTTGCTTTGGGGGCGTGCGCTTCTTGTTTCTCCTAAACTGGGAAACCTCAGCCGCCTCGGCCTCATCGCTACTGCTGTCGACAGTGTCCACGGCACGCAAAAGCTGCTCAACCGAAGCTTCCTGCTCACTCGTCACGCTGACCTCGCCGTCTGACGAGCACTCCGGGAGGCCAGCCTGCCTTTTCAAAAAGCAGCGGAAACACAACAAGTCTTCGTCAGGCTCCTGTTCCCAAACGACCCAGCGCTCCTCTTCCTCAAGCCCGTCCTCGCAGTTGACTTCCTCGTGCACCTCCCTGACCCATTGCCTGAACAGCGGATGCTGTTCACAAGCCGCCTTCGCCTGCTGGAAGACACGGTCCGCCTCAACATCGCTCTCAACTGTCTTTAACTGCTTCGAAAGGCGAAACA